ACACACCTGGCTAAAGTATTCTTATTTGCCTCTAAAACTGAACAAGTTAAATTGAGAGTTAAGCCTGTATATTAATAATTGAGAATTATTGAGGAGTCGTATAAATGTACAATGAGAAGCAATTTAAAACCAGCATTTATCTTCCATAAGACAGGAGAGAGAAAAAAACAAGAAAATCAATGGGGTAAATATATCCTAAATGAGAGCTGAATAGTCAAGACTCAGCCCTGTTGATAAAGCCAAGGATGGATATGATATTTACCAAAGCTATAAAGTGCACAGTGAAGGATAAATCCTGAATTCCCAGAAAATTATGCTAAACTAGGCCCGGCCCAGATTTTTTCAGATTTTTCTGCCAACAAAGGAGTATGTTGCATCTATTATTGTACACAAGTGTGCAGCAGCTATCACATTACATGAAACTTTGCATATTTGATGAAGGATCTATATAATGTTAACTGATTTCAATTTCCTATTAAAGGTGAAAGTATGAAGGGCTGAAGGGATCAAATACTTCACTAGTATAAACACTAGCAGTATCTTTTATCTTTAGTGTCTGCATTCCTAGACAACAGAAAATGTTTCCTACAAAAATCACCTATTAATTAATTATCAATTGAATTTTTTTAAAGGTTCAGTCATACAAATTTAAAACCTTGATTCAAAGATTCATTTATTAAAAGACAACATGTTTACCTCAAAAATCTGATGAGCACGCATTTCCCGTTCCATACGTAATTGTTCCATTCGCATTATTTTCTGCTGTTCTCGGTGCAACCGTATCATCTCCTTGTGACGTCTTTTTTCTTCTGCCATGTGCAGAGCTAGGAAAAGAAGATAAACTACACTTACTACAAAGACGGAGTACTTGCAATTAATTGCATATATAAGCATGAGATCACACAAAAAGGCAAACATGATTGAATTAAGCAACTAAACACAAAAATAAACACAAAAATCAATCAAACACTAGCTTATCTTAGGATTGAATTAAGCAACTAAACACAAAAATAAATACAAAAATCAAACACTAGCTTATCTTAGGATTAGGTAACAGACAATTTTTTTATATACAAGTTTATTCAACCAGATACATTTTATATGCAATTCTTTTATTAATTTTCCTGATTCACTCAAGTGAACAATTACATAAACAGATAACAAGTTCAAAAAAATTAGAGTGAACATACAAATCTGACTCAATCATCAAGTTTTTATAAACATAAATCATGAACTATAATTTTTTTGTACTTTCAATGTCATGCTGACATGTCATGTGATAAAAAAAAAAAAAGGGCGGGGGGGGGGGGGGGGGGGGGCGAAAAAAAAATAACCCCAATATAATGCCATTGAAATAAATGCTGGGCAAAGTGCCCCACAGTCAGTAGCTTTTCCATATCCTTAACATGTACTTGACAGATTAGAATTATGACTTCATTTGGTCCAGCATATGGATAACTTCCTGGAAACCCTCCCGAGGGAGTTATACAGCCCAACAAGAGACATTCATCAGAAGGGTTCTGTGCAGATTGACAGCTCGGAAATGAAATATTAATATAAGTAGCGCAACCAGAAATTTTCAATCTGAGAACGACTAGTACAGAGGGAATACAGAGGAAGCAGTTTCTACGCTAAATGTGTGAAACCTAAAATTTGATAAGTTACGAGTACAGAGTATTTGTGTGCAAAGAATCCTCAACCGTAGCATTCAGAGAGTTAACCCTGCCTAAATTAAGACACGAGTGCGTTCTAAGTATACGATATGCGGCCCAAGAGAGGATAAGTCTATGATTATCATAGCTTATTATTCCAGACCTAAAATGGTGTGAACTAATTCTATTTGATGAGAGAATTGCTGTGTAATAATTGGAAGTGATAAATGTGTACAGAAAAACATCTTGGAAACATGTATGGAAATTAGTTATATTAAATTTATTTACATAACTTACCATACGATGAATATTATTTTTTTTCAATAAAAATAATAATTTAATATGATTCAAACAAATTTATGATGAATATTCTGATTTTTAAATCAGATAATTTGCAACTTTTTTAAATAAACAAAAACAATATCTACATGACTATTCATTCAAATAATACACTTGTTTTAGTGTTATACATTGATATTTCTAGCGCACATTAATATATATAAATGTGTTATTCTTATTCTAATTACAACACAGTGTTATTCTCAACAACAAAAAATTAAAAAAAACTACACTTTGTAAAATACTGTTTAATAAATTGTAATTTTATTTTTGACAATTTATTAACTACAATTATGATTATTGTAGAAGCAGACAAAGATGTAAAAAAAATTAACAAAACTCAGAGCAAAAAAAAAAAAAAGAAAAAAATAACAATATAACAGGTAGCCACAATGTAGACAAAACGATGCAGGGACAAATCAGGGAAACGATGATCTGAGTTTATACCTTGCAATCGCCTTTGTTCGCGAACGGCACTGTTACGTTGGTGACGTTCTAATTTACGTTTCATCTTGCTTTCTTGCACACGTCGTGCCATCTCTGCATTAAGTGCAAACAAAAAAGGGTTTCATGCAAACTTTTTTCACGTAAAAAACAAACAAAATTAAAAGATAAGTGCATCAAATGAAAGAGATAATGCAACTCAAATAAAATATTAAAAGAAATGAATTTCTAAATTAAAAAAAAAAAGAAGAGAAACCAAAGTACTCACTGACCTCCTGTGGTTTTACTGTATATGCATTTTTTTTGCAGTTTCAACTATTACACCTAGTGACCTCTAACCTTACACAATAAGGTCCATATGTTATTTGAAAAAACAAGGCATTCAGAATCTATATTTAAAATTCTTACTAAAGACAGAGGAATTTTTTGTGTATACATCCAACAAAATTAAGTTCATTAAAAAGGATATGGGGAAAAAAATAGCGAGTTTCTTCGTGATCAACAACTTACCTTCCTGCTCCAGCTTTTTCTTTAGTTTGGCTTCGGCAGCCCGTCTTGCTAATTCACGAGCAATGCGTCGTTTTTCGGCAGCTTTGTGACCTACCCTTCCAATGCGAAATCTCGAAGGGGGCGGACTATACAATCGCTGATTTAACTCCTCAGCAGTCAGTTTTTCAAACACAATCCCCTAAAGGTTTTTAAATCAAAAAGTGTTAGTAAGTGGAAAAAAATTATAAAAATATCATTTTATGATAATAAAGTAATTTAGAGGCAGCGCAATAAGATGAACTAAAATGCATTTTGGTTTACTTTGATCTTGAATACTGCGAATGAAGTATTTATACATTATTTAAGCATTCTATTTAAATTTTCTTATTGATTTAAATTGTCACGTGTGGTCCATCCAGTAGAGCTGATCATTTATGATGAACATGAAGGGCAACTTACCATTCCGCCATCTGGTCTAGGGTTCAGGTACTCTCCAACCTTCACCTTAGCACTGAAGCTGAAGTGCTCACGGCCGACAGATGTGATCTGACGTCTTTTCAAGTAACGCAGAACCTCTGGATAGTTGCGTAACTTCTTACCACAGGGTCCATAATAGATGACCTCCCCTTTAACCTGATCCTCGGGACCCAGTTGTCGGATAATCGTCTGACGACGGAATCCATACTGTAAAGGTTGGCTTACAGCATCCACATCAGTGACACGAAGTCGTTTCTGTGGAATGGCTGTTGGTGGAAAAAATCAACACTAATGTTGCAATGTAACACTAACAAGTAAGAAAATGGTTCTAGAGATTAAAACAATGCAACATAAATTTACCAAAAAGTAAGAAATTCTTAAGTCATATTGTAATATCCAACAAGTGGAAAATGGAAAAATACAAGCCAAATACTGTTAATGCTTATAATTACTCATATATTTACTTTATTTTAACACTTTCAGTACATTAATATTCAAAGTAGTTAAGTATTAACAGAGAGATTGGAACAATACAACATAAATTTACCTGAAAGTAAAAAATTCTTAAGTCATTTTGTAACATCCAGCAAGTGGAAAATGGAAAAGTACAAGCCAAATATTATTAAAGCTTATAATTTACTCAATTTTAAACTTTATTTTAACACTTTCAGTACATTAATATTCAAAGTAGTTAAGTATTAACACAAAAACAATGAAAGTAAATATATGAAAATAATTACTGAATAGGGAATATAATTTTAAGGCTTTTGTTTATAAACATAATGAATATACATGGCTACAATGACAATTTTTTCCCCACGAGCTGACAGATGTCACTAATAAATCTGGGCCAGCATTATTCAATCTGATTGTGCTGATTATTTCAACGGTTGCTATTCCTAGTTTAGCATATAGCAGATAGCAGGAGGCAGTCTAATATGGGTTATCAAAATGTGGATGGCCATACCTCATAGCCGCCAGCAGTGTCTCCGTGATTTCTGCTCAATGGATGTTGGTTTGTGATTAATGTATTTTCAAGTGTAGCAAAAGACAATTTCTTTATGAAGACAATAAGTCTTGAACAAAATTGATGGAATGTGATGTAGCGTTGTTAAAAACTAACTAGCAGAAGTGACAGTGATTGTACATACGACAATGGATTTAGAAGATACATTGCAACAAACATAAAAAGAAAATGACTTACGTCCCGGGTCATAGTACATCGATGTGGAGGGCATGTTGCGTTTGTAATACTTGTAAGCACTGTCGGCCGAATCGTGTGTATAGGCATCAGTGTCAAGGTGATCGTTGTCGCTGTCACCGTCACCATCAGTGTCGATATCTGAGCCAGAATCACCATCAGAATCACCTTTAACATTTTAAACAAGTTGCACGTGTACATTGTGTGCATGTGTGCGCACGTTAAAATGTGCTTATCAATCCATGCACTCTTTTTTTAATATACATACTTATGATGAATGTATTATTATATAGAAGTATTATTATAGAGATGAGGCTACATCTTTCCTAATAATATTTTTAAATCCATTTTGGAGAGTTTGGCTGTAAAGCAACACCGTAGAATATGTATTGTTCAAATAGAATGTAAAAAAAAATGTAAAAAAAAGAATAGTATTTAACTTTGAGAAAACTATTCAATATTCTAGTCACTATAAGAAATGTTTTACTATACTATCTACTTGATGTTTATATTATTATATATATATTATGTTAAATACTTATATTATTATATAATACTTACCACTGTTATCTCCTAAGCTTTCATCATCATCATCATCACTACTATCACTCTCTTTTTTAGAGGGATTTTGCGCTTTGGCGGCTTTCTTGCTAGATGCATGCTCCCGAAGTCGTGCCGTCGCTTTTGACATCATCTCGTTTGCAATCTGCCTCGCTCCGGGTTTCACCATCTGTCAATAATGATTGATGATTGACAAATATTAGGTGATGAGTAGAAATAAGGCTATTAAATTAGCTCTGTAACACCTAGGGCTTTGCAGGTAGAAAGGAAATAAAAATTCCACCTTTGGCCTATACAGTACCTGTAAACGGAACTGTAAAATATGCAAAAAAGACAGCATACCATAGCTAAGGCAAAAAAAAAAAAAAACATTCTTTCACAACAAATACCTATGATTAGACCATATAAGGCTGTGATATGACATCATTATGTCCACATATGGGGCAAAGCATAGAGACTGGACAATCTGGCAGAAATGTATACATCATCACAACATGTACCCATGTATGTTTAGACCTGGCATAGGCCTACCATAGTTATGGATGTATATTTGTAGCCTCTTTATAAAATGGGCCTCATCATCTTTAACAAAAAAACCTAGACAATAATCAAGCTATTTTATAATCTTTGGCCTAATATTTATAACTGAAATAACATGTTTAAAACATAAATCATACCTTAGCTTTCAGAGCCACTTTAATTCTCTCCGCTGCTTGTTTGGTTGTTCGTGCAATCAGTTTCTCATGGGTAGAGACAAATTTCGCAAGCTCTTCATTGTCCTTATGTAAGGTGAAAGGTGACGGAGAGTTACTGGATCGTTTTGACAGATTCAATGGAGCATCTTCCGAGACATTTTTCTCTGTTGTCGATTTGTGCTTCGGAATTTTGGACTTGTCCACTTTGACTGGCTTAGCTTCCTGGTTCTTCTTTTTCTCGGCTTCCATCTTTTTCTGTATTTTCAACTGCTGCTGTTGGGCTTTGATCTGCTGTTCAAATTGAAGCGTTAATTGTTCAGCCTTCTTCTTTTGTTCTTCCTCTCGTTCTCGTTCATCATTTACTTGTTTAGCTTTCACCTGCTGCTCCTTCTGCATCTTTTCCTTAAAAATGAAATAAAAATATTTCAAAATCTACTTTGATTTCAGATATGGTATTAAATTGTTCAGACCATACTGTATACGCAGGTATTATATCAAATTGCTCAGAGAGATACAGTATTGAAATAACTATTATAATTTTATAAGTCATTTGTCATCTTGGTCAAAATTGGATGGATTAAGTCTTAAGAGGAAGTTAATTAAAGTCATGGGGGAAAAAATCTTTTATTTTACAAGATTTGAACAAAAGACATTTGGATTGGAAAGTGCTAATCTTAACCACCAAGCTACAGATCCAACCTAAATCTTTAAAAGATTTCTCACCTTTTTTCGCTCCCTAGCTTCCCTTTGCTGTTGCTTAATCCTTTTCTCCTGCTCAAGCAGCTCTTTCTGTTTAAGTTCAAGTTCTTTCTTGGTCTGGAATTATACCACACCCATAAGTAATTATTCATAAATCATATTATTATAATTACTTAATTAACACACTTAACACAAACTACTAATCAATTACATAATAATACAGTATATTATTAATGCATTATATAATAAACAATGAAAATTACATTTAATTGAATATAATATAAATAAAACAACTTAATATATATGATTAGAAATATATATTTAAATACAAACTATAATTATATAGGAATTGACTTTCTAAATGAGTTAGTGTCTATTAGAACACTTCAAGATATGGGCCTACTCTCTTTAAGGCTAATATGTCAATTCAATATCCGAAGTGCTTACCTTATGCATTACTGAAGTTAAGTATTTCATCCTTTTAAATTCAATGATTTGACTGAATTTTTTAGGGGTTTTCTAGATTTGATTTAATTTTAAATCAAGTACAATCTGTTGACAGTTTATTTTAACACAGGAAAATATACTTATACATACAACACATTTATGAAAAACTTAAAATATATGCACCAAAAAGTGAAATATTTAACTAGAAGTAAAAAAAAGTAGGGATAAATAAACAACTAATGAATCCAACTGCATATAAAATCAGTAAAAATATAGTGCGAGAACAATAGTAAATGAAATAAATATTAAAGAACACTGTTAGATGCATCCTAGCAAACATTTTACATTCCTAATCCTAATTGGACGTTCAAACCTGCTTGGCTTGAGGATAAAAACAAAATTTTAGTACAAAGTAATCCCTCGGCTGCAATTACTGAAAACTGAAAAGACAAAATGTTGTAATTCTGCGGCCATTAAATGATAACAACCGGTGAAAACTGACTCATCCTTTGTTTAGGCTTTTGTGAGACCCTGAAACCTGTAGGCTAAGTTAGAGACTTTAATCCCACAGAATGAAGATGACAGGCAAAGGGTCGGCCAATACAGGCCCTTGCTGAATCTAACCCAATGTGTTTTTACTACAAGGTAATTGTCAGCAGCTATAAGAACAAAATATATCCTTGAAAATATTATCACTAACAAACAGTGAATATTATTACACAAGAATATTAAGAATCACTACCTTAAATAACTTGCATTTTCCCCTAGGAAATTAAATCTTTTTTTCATTTGTATTTTTTATAAATAAAGGTTATCGACACATTTGAGTATGATACATTCATTTTTTACTTGTGATTTGTAAGGTATCAATAATAAAATAGGTGGTTTGAAGAAAGAAAATAAAGACTATTTTATTCTTAAATTTAACTGTTTGGATACATTTTACGGATTCATACAGTATACTCAAATTAATTTAAAATATATTTATAAAAGGGAACATATAAATTATATATATTTTTTCTAGATAATTTAAGTTTTCAATTTCACCTTCATTATCGTTTCCATCTCCTCTTCTTCATCATCACTATCCTCCGTGTCATTGCTACTGATGTCGGAGTTATCCGACTCATTGGCCTCATCCAGATCATCTGTGGTGGTATCATCATCATCATCGTCTTCGTCGTCCTCTTCCATGTCAATATCACTACTGCTGGATGCGTCCTTTTTATTCTCCAAGCTATGCTCTGAACCACTTGGCTCAAAGGCTGCGTTCGCTAAGCTGTTGGCATTGACTCTTGCACTGCCGGGTTCTGCAGCTGGAGAGCCATCTGGCAGCTTTGAAGGCAGAAGGAAATAAAGTGTCAATTATTTTCTGATTTTATCTTACACTATTTAAGATATACTGTTAAACTAATTACATGTTCATGATTATAGTCTGCTGTATATTAAGTTTAGTTCCAGGGCCATTTTACAACTTATGTCTCCTTGGTTCCCGGCACTTTTTATTTGGATTCTGAGAATACAAGTGATTAAAATGAATTGATTGATTGATAAAAATTATTATTATTATTATTACTATTATTATTATTATAGTAAAATTATCTATTACTTATTCAGGAAAATATACATGAATAAATGACATCACGAATAAACGATAACAAATATGTAGAGTGGTCATGTAGAAATAAAACTAAGAGTTATCAAAAACCTCACATTATGTTTATAAATATGAATACATCAACATGAAGTTATAAATAATTTTAGCAATAAACAGAACAAATGTAGCAATAATACATAAAAAACAATATTATTAATAAAAAAATAATAATTTAATAATTAATTACAGTAACTAAATACGTAAAACATTATTTCTTAACATTAAACTAAAATATTGTGTATATTACTGTACCCAGACCTAAGTATTTCCATCTCCTACAAATTATATCTGAACTTAAATGAAACCAGTTTGCTAACTGATTGAATTTCCTTAACTTGCTCTGAAAACGAATTAGAATTTTACACAAACAAGATGTAATGTACTGATAAGCTTTATGTGTGATTTCGTGAACAAGCCATGGAAATTGGCAAATCACACATCTTTACAACCAAAACTTTAATAACAATAATTTTATTAATGATATTATTTTTAATAGATAGAATAGTTAAAAATTATGAAATTCCAAAGATCTCTGGCTTCTTTAAAATTAGGGATGGTAATCAAATTCTTTTTATTTTAATGTTTTTACTTTGACAGGTGAAGAAACAGAAAATGAAACTTTTACATTGAACTCTCATTTGATATTGAAATGATGGATTTGAGATAGACAACCGACATGTAAAAAGTACACAATAGCATAAGACATCGCATTCAGAAGGTCTCCTGGGCTAAGCTTCTCAAACGAAAACCAGGATGATGAATTCCCAAAACGGGGCAGACTAGTTCAAGAGCTCTACAGCAATGTGTAATAGTCTGGAGGCCTAGGAAATATTGAAGAAACAGCGATGAATGCTATGTATTGAGTGACTGTGTGATCTCGTAGAAAATATTTGTTATCCAGTCCCATGACTATTAAGAACTATTTATAATAATACTAAAAAGCTCCTTTAAGTTCACAGTTGTTATAGGCATACTGCTTTTTTTTCCTTTTCTACCATGACACCATATTAAAGAAAAACAGCGGAAAAAACAGCGGAAATGACAGAACTAATTTATTATTATTATTTGTCTTTGCTGTTCCACCAAGCGAGACTATTTGGCAATCTTTGATAGACCATTAGGATCAAGGATTTTACTTTGGCAAACAATCCAATATTTATGATTATTATTTTCTATGTCAAAAAAAAACACATACAAATGAATAAAATAAATACAAAACAGTAAAATAAATAAGATATAAAAATACATAATTAAAAATAAACCAAACATCAATGAAATAATGTTTTAACATTGTAATAATTAAAGCTTATACAATTTAGTTTACAATATTTTAGATATTCTCTGAAATTGTACTGTTGTGGTGGTTGACTAGACTGGATTGCTTCACACCAGAAGCTCAGATAAACAGAGTTATATTTTTACATGGGACAGCACACATAAATACACAATTGAAAACATGGATAATATAAGTATAATATGTAGATGCAATAAAAAGAGCAGTTTGATTTTGTAGGCTTGTTGATTTAAATATCTTGACAGGAGCAAGAGTTGTTTTGATTACATCCCAAATAAGGAAAATAAGATGTTTTTATCTCACTGTATAGGTACGTAATTCAAATCCTTATTGCCACCCTCACATATTTCTCTATATTATACACCCTTATTCATTCCATGCATCCTAGTATCCCTCTAATATATACCTTAATACTTAACTCCTCCCTTAAGCTTACACCCCTACTACGATATCTCTTGCTTACTTGTTTTTCTTTTGCTACTGACAGCGTTTCTTCTGCTGATTTCCTTCCAATGTCTGTCTGACTATTCTCCTGGGATGTATCAGCATGCCTTGGCGAGTCTGACTTGCGAGGGCGTCCTCTACCTCGCTTCTCACTGCTTGGTGCACTTGACGGGAAAGGCTTGGTGGCAGAAGGTGGGGATGCAGGTGTTTGAGCAGGTAATCCTATGTAATCATTCGCATCTGCCAATAGGGAAATAGTAATATAATTATTATGATAATAAAATAATGAATAAAAATACAAACTGTCATAATGATAATTTATGGAAAACAAAATAAACAGTTAATTTTAACAAAGCAAGCAACAGAGGTTAAAAGAAGCGTGTTCTGCTTAAGCACTGACAAAATAAAATTTCAAAGACTTTATTAATAAAGCAATTTTAAAATGTTTTTACCGGACACCTAAATATCGTCAGCTAGTCTTGCTAAGAGTAGGAGTGAACACCCGACATGTCTGGAGAGTGAGATAGCCTCATAAAGGCTATTAGAAAAACTACTCAAGCGAGACCAGCTAACAATATTTATAGTATCTAATATTACAGAGCTATAAACATCTGAAATCTAAGTTTAAGATTAATATAATTTTTATTGATGATGAAATGAATTTTTTTATGTAAACCAGATGAAATGGTTATGATCTCTCAGATTCTTAGACTTACGTTTCTGATTCTTTGCACCGAACAATGATTCAAAGTTTTTCACTGTTGAATCTTTGCTGAGGCTACTAAACGATGGAGGAGTCAGTCCCAAGCTGCTACCAGAAAGGCCCAAGCCTGGCACAGCGTTGTGGGGATGTGTCCACCATGATGCACCCCCTACCAAGCAAGCCGAAAGAGAGAAGAAAAATGTTACCAAGAGCAAGCGAAAGAGAGCAAGCATATAAAAAGAACCCAGCACATGATAAATTAATGCAGAATATAGATAGAGTGCAAGTGAATTAGGTGCTTTAACATAACAATCATTAGCACAGTGAAACATGTAATTCCAGTTTAAGATAACTTCAAAAAATACATTATATCTTACTAACAATGGCTAAATATAAATAAACAGAAGTAATGACATGCTAATACCGGTAATAATATAATCAATGAGAAAACACATTTAAGGCACTTTACTGAATGTTGGTTGTCAAAGTAATTTGTTTGAAATAAAAAATTATAGATTGGTTGGCTGTGAAAGGTAAATCATGGTATAAAATATAATAATCATACAATAAAATTTCAGATAGCATGTGTTAGCTTAAGCTAACTTTATCCTAACCTTTAATTAATAAACTGTTTAAAAAAATAAAAACATTTTTCCTATTATTTCTCCTTGAACTATTTGAGATATATTCTCTATAAAAATTTGTCAGATCAGGTTGAATCACTAATTGTGGCAAAGACAAGCCAAACCAGTCACTCGTCGCAAATTGTGTTTCAGAGATAATGGCCAAAACATGCTGGAATGTCAACATTTTTCAAATCTATTTTACTGCACTAAACTAATCTTTATATATCTATACATCATGCTATGTTGTTATTTTCTCCATTTTCAATGTTAAAACAATTTTTTACGATTTGGTAATGGTTTCTTGCTGAAAAATGAATAGAAACTGTAAACTTTGAATAGAAGGCTGATTTCTCAATATTGTTCTTTAAACAGCTGTTTGTTTAAACTAGTGTAACTTCATAACAAAATGTTGGATTTAAATGATTCTTTTACAATTTTACAACTCTCATTTTACTTTTTAACCATGTAATAATAACTAAAAATTGATTTTTGCGAGGAGTGACTGGTTTAGCTTGTCTTTGCCACAATTGTTTTGGCTTCCAAAACTGGTTCTAATACCCCACCCTAATATCATACAAAGGCATCTTAGTTTATCATAATAATTTCGAGTATTAAGGGCAGAATGGAGATGTTACGGTTGGATTTGGAATTTACTAGGGTGGTATTTGAAATGATTCTAGACTTGATAGTAAAAGGTACAGCAATTTTAGCAATATAAAATTTAACAGAGGATTTATAGCTAAAGATCACTGCTAACTGTCTGAGTGATAGTAAACATAATACAAACAGGTTCAGAGCCACTTTCAGCATTTTACACATTTAATCTCCAACTTAAAGGGGTGTTGATTGAAGCTATTTTATTAAACCCCTGAGTGCTGCCGCCTATTTGCATAATACAGTCCGCAAAAAACGTGACCATAATAGACAACCTGAAATCCATCAGCAAGTTTTTACAGGCCATTCGTAAATAATCAGTTTATATTTTAATACCATTCAGTTGTGTTCATAACATCATCTTTGAAAAGATATCACTCATTACATCATTGTTTAGTTTTTATTTCAAACTACAAAATACATAAAAACGGTAGAATCTTTAATTAAAATACAGTTTGTAAATTATATGAATATTTTATTTCAAAATTGATCTTTATAGTAGATTTATTATAAGTAAACGTTGATGAAAATAAACATTTTATAGATATGAAATTTGTTCTAGGATACATCTAAATTTAGCTAGGCAGAATAATCTGTGATGCAGCCATGAATAAATTTGTAGAGAGTACAAACTTGAATAATTAATTATTAATGATAATAATTATTAATTATTTTAAAAAAAATACAACCTTGAATAAATAACTTGCATTTAATAATAATTATTACATTTTAAACAATTGTACAATCTTTAATAAAAACTGGAAATTGAATAATTTAATAAAATATTATTCTTATTCAAAATAATAATCAATATATCAATAATTAGTTAATTTACGTAACATTCTAGTATCTTTAAGTTAACCATGAATCCTGTATCATATTTGCTTCCAATCAAAATATTTATAAATTATGTGTTACCAAAGAAGTAAATCACTGGATCATATCACTGTACACAACCTCACTGAGTTTGTATGATAATTACATCTAATAAATATACTTTTTTAGATAGATATTAGTAACATTTTTTTCTTACAGTGAACAAAATCAGCATAAACAAAATGTCAAAAAAGCATATATGAAATAAATTTCTACTACGACTACTAAAGTAGAAATTTATTGGATATTGTTTTTATCACTCCCAATTGAGACACAAACTTGCTACAAAAGAAAATATTGCAACTAAAATCATAAATCATTCCATAAATTGACGTGCTTATTGTTCTAAAATATTATTAATAATTCAAAAAACCAACATATAAACAAATAGAAGAATGTTGACAAAAATATATCTTTTAGATAGTTTCAAAATAAGGTTCATAAAAATTTTTTAGCACTAATAATAATAACATGGTGGAATTGTATTGCAAGCAAATTCTACTCTATTCTATGTAAAGTTCTACCTATACAACCTGTAACACAAGAGGATAAGCTACAAATGATACATTAAGAAAAGTACAGTTATAATTAAACAACAAAAAAAACTTGTTATCATACCACATAGAGACACTACTTAAAAAAAGAAACAATTTTTTTATTGTTTGTATAAACAACAGGCATAGTATTCAATAATTTGATCATACAAAAAATTATTTTTCCACAGGAGCCTGGCATAATGAATTGGCAAATACTACGCACTCAAAGTGAATCATATAGCACTCAAAGTGAATCATATAGCACTCAAAGGGAATCATATGAGGGGAACTACTCTTTCTGGAGGATACGGTCATGGAGAACAACTCCACTGATTTCAGAGAAATATTTTAACTATCTTGTTTGGTTGTTGTTTCTAGAAACCTTTCCTCACTAAAGTTAGTTCCATCTACTTGAGTAAAACATCATTGATTAATTGTAAGACATTCACCTCTGACAATATCCCTAACATAACCATTACACAATATATACCACTGGGTTGTATCCGGAAAAAAAATGTGTATAAGTTTTCGTAATATCCAAGAGAGGTGATACATTTGGCAAAGTGCAATGCAACCACACTAATAAATATTCATGAGAAATATAATAACTGTGTTAAATATTCATAACATTAGGTTGGGAATTTTTGTGTGGAATATGATACTATGATTATTTGGTATTCCTTGTGAAATTCATTTTTGTACAGAACAGTGAACACACAAAAGTGAATAAATTACATTGTCTTTATCAATAACATGTTTTTTTTAAATAAAAGTTACTGAATGTAATCAAATTGAAAATATCAATTTGTAAGATTTGGTCCCATTACACACAATTCCAATAATTCTTCAGTTGATTTCATATTATTATTCAACTACGATGTGTCTTCATTGATAATTGTATTTCAAAAAAAAAATTAAAAAAATTAGTGTGTATTTAATTTTAATAATTATTCTTATTACAATCTTTTTTTTATCATCATAATTCCTGATAAAGATATGATTACTAAATAATCTCTTCCATCACATTAAAGTGCTTTCGTTTAGAACAAAAGTAATCAAATACAGTAAAACATGCAAGGCACAATTATGCATAATGTTTTCCAAACCAAGGTTGACCATGTAGTAGTGACATATGTATCATCTAGGAAATGAAAGAAATGCATAGTCAATAAAAAAAATATGTAATGGATAGTTAGAACATTAATTGTATTTTCACTACTAAATTCTTCCTCAGACTCAGCTCGAAGGAATTTCTTTAATAGATATACTGACTGTAATAACCATCCTATTTAACTTGGAAAGGAAATTGAAGTCCATTTTAGACTAGCAATTATATATTACCAGGATATAAATAAGATTTTCACAATGTAATGTTTATTAATACTATAAAAAGTAAGGCGTTAACTTCTATCCTTTTGCAAAAAAAGTTAATAAATACAAAAGAAGTGCCTCAATACTAGAACTTAATAATGAGGGACTGCCAACTGATTTTCAATTTATTTTTTCTATATACCAATAAAATTAGAATTTCCAGCATTTTATATTTTAGGATGGCCTCACAAATTATCTTAACTTATCTTGAAAATGGGGAAAAAAATAATAGTTTAATTTATGGAATATCAATAAGTAACTAAAAAGAAAGAAAATATAGTATATTTTATATTCAAATTGAACTTAAGCTCCATGCTTGATTCAAATTGTTATTTCATATATTTTAACGTAGTTTCATTTTATTATTCATGGCTTTTATTGGTGCGTGACTGTAATTCTAATTATAATATAGTTTCACATATTAACTTTTTAATAACAAACTATATAAATTTGTCTGCTTTAAAAACAAACATTATCAAAGAATCCATATTTATTTATTTGAAAATGATGTATAACTTCTTTTTTCATTTCATTATTTGGTTCTTTTATTCATATACAATCAAAATTATTGCTCATCCTCAGTGAGCGAAGTTTGGTAAATAGAAAAAGGAATTAATTTTAAAATCCAACTAAATTTATAATAAAATTTAATTACTTTGTTTCACTATTTATTTAGTCATTTTTCATTCATACATTAAAAAACTGTACAATCAAATTCATTGTATGTGTGCAAAGATCATGAAATAGAAAAGTAAATATGACTGTTATGAAAAAAAAAAATAGGTACTATAGAGAGGTACTATCTGAAAACACCAAGCTGTTGAAAATATACAGGTAAACATCGCCTCAATCCCTCATTAGCATTCAGACAGCCATTAAAATAGCACATCATATGCTGTTGCAATGTTAATATTAAATTCAATTCAGCTGTACTGTAAATAATGCACTGAATGAAATGGCACTGTCATTGTCTCTGCAAAATGCATTTTACATATTCTTTGTTAATTGCATAAGCGTGGATCATATCCTGAAGCACAAGAAAAAGTGCATTAGACTCTAGCTGGTACACACTCTTCGAGGCCTAGTGCTACGTTATCAAATACAAG